ACCTTGTTTACAGCCGCCTCCTCCCCCCCTCCCTCCTTCCCCCACCACCCCACCCGGCTTGGAGTCAGGCTCCTCCACTGTTAAGCGCTCTGAAACGCTGTATAAGTAAGTGCAAGTTGTTTTTGTTGTTGTTGTTGGTGTGTGTCAGGGGTGGGGGGGTGGGGTGAGGTTGAGGGCCTGCGTCACAATGGGAAACTTGCGGACAAAGTGGTTGACTTTGACCTCGGCTGGAATCCCGCCTGTACAGAGAAGGGTTTCAATCGCCCACTTCCCGGCCTGAATGGGCTCGAGCAACAATCTCCATCGGAGGCTCCGACTTTACTTACGCACACAAACACAGCGGAGACCCAACGAGCGTGAGGACTCGGGACAAAGCTCCTTGTTTTAGCCCAACCCAAAGCCATCCATCGCCCTGGAAACACAGAGCAAACACGTGGACTGTTGCTTTTGTCCATTATGCTTTGGGGTTACCCAGCGCCAAATGGAAAGAGAGACGGAGAGAGAGAGAGGGGGGAGGAGGGGGCTGGTTTTGTCATGGAAACCAATAACAATATCCCTTCATTGTGTCATCCTGGCACAGTGGTAGCACTCTCTCTCTTTCTCTCTCTCGCCTCTGAGTCAAAAGGTTGTGGGTTCAAGCCCCCCCTACGTCAGGACTTGGAATCACATCATCTAATCTGATGCTCCAATGCAGCGCTGAGGAGGGGGACACTGTCCTTTGGATGAGGCGTTAAACCTCACTGTGTCTGTGCCCTGTTCAGGTGGACGTTAAAGTTCCCGCGGGGCTGCTCGAAAGGAGAAGGGAATTTCTCCCTCTCTCTCTCTCTCTCTCTCTCTCTCCCGGTGTTCTTGGTCAACAATCCCTCAAATAAAATTGGTCACTCGCTCCACGGCTGTTTGTGGGGACGCTGCTGTGCGCAATTGGCTGCCACGTTTCACCCACAAAAAATACCCAGTCAATTCACTTTGTGAAGCGCTTTGAGACGTCTGGAGGATATGACGAGGCTCTGTGTCAAGTGCGAGGAGGTATTATTATTATTAATAAGAGAACAAATCAGTTCAACAATTCTACTGTTACATAAGTTGATCGTTTGAACAGATTGGTTGCATGACTGTGCGTCTTGATCCTCTCGCTTCTCAGCCCTTTCTTAACCAAACCTTAACAGTTGGATGTCACATAGCAAACCGAGGCCTTAGGTTTAGCTGTGAGTTGGCTTGAACCAGAATTTAGTGACTGATCATGATCAGTCAGTATTAATGCTGGGTCAGATGCTAGCCCCACATTGGACTTGGATCTGTTGACAGCACTGAGAGATGAGACGTTCAACCAAAGTCTATTGAGGTGAATATCAAATATCTCACTGGAAGTTTCCTTACACCACACAAACACACTTACGTCTCTGTTTAAGTGGGAACCCGATTGGGGGATCGCTTTTCCTGGGGTAAGAATCCCTTCAAAAACATTAATAAAATAATAATAATTTGGTCACTCGATCCAGGACTGTATGTGGGAACGCTGCTGTGCGCAATTGGCTGCCATGTTTCGCCCACAAAATACCCAGTCACTACACTTTACAATGCAGTACTGTGTTCAGCGCCTTGGGACGTCCTCCCGACGTGAAAGGCGCTATACAAATGTAATCTTATTGTTGTTGTATCCTGTGAAGAGCTTTGAGACGTCTCGACGACATGATAAAGCGAGATTTCAAATGCAAAGAGTATTATTGTTATCATTATTATTGTTATTACGGGTTTACTTTTTCAATCTGGTTTAGAAATTTGTACACCTGTGTTTGGATCGAGGTCCAATCCAGCTTCGTATTCCCAACTCCCCTCTCCAAAAAGGCCGAGGACTTCTACATGATCAGCAGACTTGGCACGGTGAGCTTCGCAATAAAAACTCTCCCTTGATGGCATCGATAGGGATATTAAGGTTAGCTTCAGGTTACTTGGGCGCTGGATCTTAAGATAGGGCGGACTATCTTAAGCTACGACTGATGAACACTCACAGCTGCTCTGTTCCCATCTTATGTAAGAAGATTTATGTGCAGATTGGCATTACCATGTTGAGCTGTTTCTTTGTGTTTATGGAACTTTGGTCGTTAAACGCCAACAGGTTACATTTACACGGACGGCACCTGCCTTTCACATCAGGTGGACATCCCGCAGAGCTGGACAGTCAGGGGTTTGGACCCGAGCTGCGGTTTGGGAACAGGAGGCGGTGGGTGGGAGAGGGGGTGGAGGAGAGGGGGTGTAGGGCGATGAGGAGAGAGACACAGTTAGAGAGAGAGGGGGGGAGAGGAAGAGAGCGAGCTCGTTCCATTACAGACATGGAGAGAGATATGTGACAAGTGGCTTATAGCAGAGTTGAAGGGAAAGACGGACGAAAGGAAACACTGTCAAGGTGGTACTTAGGTCTCAAGAAGCATCTTGAAAGACATGAAGGATCGGAGGAGTGATCATATGGTCACGACAAGCTGTGTGAGAGCTCCAGGCCACTCATTCTCACCTTCCCACGATAACATAGCTGAGGATCAAGACATCGTTAGTTCCAACGCTCTCTTTCGTCTCCATGTTTTGGCTCGAAACTCAGACACAGACTGAAATGTTCCACTCCCCCCACCTAGGTGTAAATTTCAAGTGGGTCTGTTTCATCTACTCGCAACTCAGCATAATTTCAGCAGAGTGACATCTCTAATATTAACTGTCTGATATTAACACCTTTACATAGCCTGATATTAACAGTGAGCACCTCTATATTGCCCGATATTAACAGTGAGCACCTCTATATAGCCTGATATTAACAGTGAGCACCTCTATGTAGTCTGATATTAACAGTGAGCACCTCTATATAGGCTGATATTAACAGTGAGCACCTCTATATTGCCCGATATTAACAGTGAGCACCTCTATATAGCCTGATATTAACAGTGAGCACCTCTATATTGCCCGATATTAACAGTGAGCACCTCTATATAGCCTGATATTAACAGTGAGCACCTCTATATAGCCTGATATTAACAGTGGCTGCCGATGGTGGAGTGGGGAAGAAGAACAGCAGCAGTAATTCTCTCGTTTGATACAGGACCAATAAAACTCCCAAGTGTTTTAGCAGACAAGTCCCTGACTAACTGACTGACTGGACTGTAGCTGTAAATAGCAAGCGACTGAGTTTCATTACACTGCCCTGGGGCGGCTGAAGAACTCGTGTTCACATCTTGTATAAGTTTCTTCCCAAAATATAGATTACAAAATAGCTGCAAAATAGCTCCATCTCCATCAACCTTACACTGAGCCGGCAGGAATCTGATCCAACACTTAGACACTTCACCCTCCCACTCCCCCACCACCGCTGCTGCACTACATCTGACCCTGCAGATCCAACAACAACAACTTGCACTTATAGGGGGCAGCATCTCAGAGTGCTGAACAGTGGCGGAGCCTGACTCTGAGCCGGGGTGGGGGGGAGGGAGTGGGGGGGGGGTGAGAGATGAATGTAAACACGGTCGAAGAGCAAGGGTTTTCAGGTGGGACTTGAAAGAGGGAAGAGAAGGGTGGGGGAGGGTGCAAGGTGGGGGGGATTGAGGGAGAGTGTTACAGAATTTCGGGGCGCAGTGGCTGAAAGCGCGACCTCCGATGGTGGGGCGGAGGGTGCGAGGGACGAGCAGGAGCCCAGGGGCCAGTCAATGGGAGGTGCAGTGTGTGGAGTAAGGAAAGGTTATTATAAATTAACTTAGATAGATTTCTGTTGGGAAATAATATCTGGAAGCGGGGGTGGGGTGGGGTGGGTGGGGGGTTGGTGGGGGATACAGTCTATATTTCGGGGACACGACCTGTGAAACGGCTGTCAGGACGGTTGGCGGAAGGCGAACTGGATGGACCGTGGTCTTCTTTCGAGCAGGAAATTTCTTATGTTCTTATAAGGATTTTGTGGATTTGGATCGAACCTGAATCCGAACAGATGGCCAGTAGATGGAGCAGTTGGATAGACAACCTGCGCTGATGATTCAAAGCTTTAATGTCTTGTGATAATGTTTAAGCTATTCCACCAGGCAGCAGCCCAAATAATAATAGTAACCCTTACTGTTACACACAGCGCCTTTCACACCTCTGTCCCATTCAGCTGTAGCTTTAGTGATCCAGCGCCCGATCACGTCTTCGAGACATCTCAAAGCGCTTGACAGAATACACCGTCAAGTGAGTTGACTCACTGTCGGCGAAATGCGGCAGCCAATGGCGCACAGCAGCGTCCCCACAAACAGTCGTGGATTGAGTGACCAATATACATGTTAAATTATCCTTGACAGCGTATTCTATGAAGCGCTTTGAGACATCGACAACGTGTGAAGGTGCTGGACTCAAATGCCAAGAGGTATTATTTCCTGTGCGTTCCTTGGGAGAGAGGCAAAAGAGATCGGTGGGATTAGACCTGTCCACTTAACAGAGAGAGGAAAATAAAAGCACGAGCTTTATACGTCAGGATTGCTCCACACACGAGCAGTTCTCTCACTGACTTGCACCACGGAACTCCACTGCAACTATCTGTAGCCCAAAGGGTGCGGGAGAGAGCGAGAGAGGAGAGGATGGGATGGGGTAGAGTGTGTGGGGGGGGAAGGACCATTTAGCGAGGGGGCGGTGGCGGTAGAGTTTGCCAATGTCAGGGAGTGAGATATCTGAGCAGCTTCGCTACGGATAGTTGCAGATTCTCTCCCCTTTTCCCACCCGTTGATGGTTCGATCCAATAAAAAAAAACTCAAGATAAATTCCCCTTCCAATCCAGACAGGCAGCCGGGCAGCGCTGGGGGGGAAAGGCGTTTGAAGCGAGCGAGCGAGTAAAGTGAGCCAGCCAGTGAGTGAGCGGAGCTGTGCAGAGCTTAGCTACGTTGGCGGAGGCTTTGGGATGTTTAACTCAGGCTGAGGACTGTGCTGTGTGTTTGCTTGTCTTGACTGGAGAGCGAGAGCGGGAGAGAGAGCGAGAGAGAGGGACAGAGAGCGAGAGCGAGGAGAGAGAGAGAGCGATAGACTACCTTGAACAGGGGCGGCTCCGATTCGACCCCTCGTCTGGCCTGAGTTTGTGCCCTGTGTCCCGGTGATGAACTGCACTCTGGTGGCCAGGCTTGTGACCAGGGGGGTCGAGGAGGCCATGGACCAGGTCCTCGGGAGCTGCAACGGGACGAGAGCCGTAAGCGAAAAGGGCTTCGTCTCCGTCTCGGACGAGAGGAGACTGTTCACCGTCAGGGTGGTCCAGATGGCCGTGCTCTGCATCCTCTCGCTCACCGTGGTCTTCGGACTCTTCTTCTTCGGCTGCAACCTGCTCATCAAGTCCGAGAGCATGATCAACCTCCTGGCCAGGGAGCGGCGTCCATCAAAGGAGATCGGAGTCGTCAACGTGAGCAACTGCTGAACCTGCGGAGCTCGAGGGAGTCTTGAGTTTGTTGGGCAAAACCCGCACGGATGTTGACAACTGCTTTGTGCCCCTCCCTCCCTCCCTCTTCCCGCTGCCCCCCACTCCGCACCACCCCTCTCCTCTCCCCAAGCTAACCCAATCCCCCCACCCCTCCAAATCCCAACTTAAAACCTCGTCAGAATGAGCCGACTTGTGTGAGGAGACGGAAGCTCGGACTTGGTCGGGAGCTCAAGTCGGGAAGTGTGATGGGGAAAAGGTTGGTGCTCCTGCGACCGAGAACTCAAAGGATCTGTCCTGAGATGCCGAGCCATCGAGAGAAAGAGGGGGAGAGAGAGAGAGAGAGAGAGGAGGTAGAGAGAGGGAGAGAGTGAGAAATGTAGGTGTGAAGGAGTTGGAAGCTGAGACTACAACATGGAACTTGCTGTGTTATTGGCAGCAAAGGGTCAACTGTTGTTCAACACATCGGAAGGAACGAAGGAAGGAAGATTAGACTTTCCGTGAAGACATAAGGACTGAATCTGGAGTCGACCTCAACGGAATTTGTGAACTGGCATCCAATCTGCTAAATACTTTCGTTCGGAAACATTTCAACAGACGATTTCAAGTGAAACCATTTGCTTTGTGTTAATCTCTCTCCCACCCCACCCCCACCCCTCGCTCTGTGTCAACCGCAAAACGTAACATGATCTGATTACCTCTGATTGGACTTTCCAATTCCACTGTTCCTGGTCACCATCTTTTCTCCTCCCCCCTAACCCCGTCTCCCCCCCACCATCCCCCGCCTCCCGCTTGAAAAAATATTGTCTTAAGATTTCAGAGGATTAAAATATTCTTTGTCTTACTTCAAGCAATTGGAGAGAGTGGTGGGAGCATTTGTTCCGTAGCTCAGTGGTTAGAGCACTCGCCTCACAAGCGAGAGGACCCGGGTTCGATCCCCGGACAGGGCAAAAAGTTGGGCAAGTTTCCTTACTCCACACACCAACACACACACACACACACACGCGCCTCTGTTTGCTAAAGTAAGTAGGAACACGGTTGTTAGTTGATTATCGCATCGCTTTCCAGGGGTTAATAATAGAAAAAAAAATGAAATACTTTGGAGACTCAACCAACGGCTGTTTGTGGGGACACTGCTGTGCGCAATTGGCTGCTGCGTTTCACCCACAAGATACACAGTCAATGCACTTTACAGTGTACCCTGTGAAGCGCTTTGAGACGTCTCTAGGACGTAATAAGAGGCTATAATAATAATAATAATCCTCGCATTCGATATATATATATATATACATAGTGCCTTGTCATTGTGCCCAGCGGTGTCTCACAAAACTGTCATGGAATTGAGTGACCAACTCAATTAATTCATTGATCTTTTTTAAAATGGAAGCAGCAGCCAATTGCGCTCTATGTCGAATGCAAGGATTGTTATTGCCCGGGGCTGGACCCGGGGTTAATGGAGGAACAGAATCATTTTCCAACACGGCCACACGTTCCCCGGCGAATCTCCCGTTACAGAACAGGGATCGGAAAGTTCACGCTTTTCGCTCGGGTTCGGCCTGATTTGAAAGGGTTGCAACACGAGGGAATGGAGCAAGTTCATCTGGTTGTCAGGAACAGAGGCAAAGGGTGTCGTGATCTAACACAGCTTCGCTCAGATTTTTTTTGACGACTCTGTACGTACTGACAGCAAAGGCAGTAAAGCAATAAAAACAGAAGCCGCTGGGAACACTCAGCAAGTCAGGCAGCATCTACGGTGAGAGGACAGTGAGTCAATGTTTTGGAGAGAAGAGCAGAGAAAACCCAAGGGTCGTAGACCCAAAACCTTGACTCGCTTTCCTCTCTCTCTCTCTCTCTCTCTCCATAGATGCTGCTTGACCTGCTCTGAGAGTTCCGGGCGACTTCTGCTTGTGTTTCAGATTTCCAGCGTCCGCGGTAATTAATAATAATTAATAAGTAATTAATAATGGTGCGGAGCTTCAAGATGTTTCACGGATGTCATAATCACTCCCTCACTCCACCCCCCCACCCCCCCCCCACCCACTCCCACAAAAATCATCATGATAATTTGGTCGCTCACTTCACGACTGTTGGAGGGGACGTCGCTGGAGGCAATTGGTTTCGCCCACAAAACACACAGTCATATACTGTATGGTTTTACCCCAGTATTCCCCTTGAGGAGGGGGATTTACTCCTGTGTATCCTTTGGGTTTCTCTGTTGTCTCCATTCCCCACGGGAGCAGGAATCAACAACAACAGCGACTTCCATTTACACAGTGACCCCCCCCCCCCCATACACCCCACCCTCACTCACGCAGGGGAGTGCTTCACGGTGACAGACCACGACACTGAGCCAGGGAGAGCGAGGGAGGGAGGGGGAAGGTCGAAAAGGTGGGCGGTCAAAGAGGAAGATCTTCAGGGGTGACCCGAAGATGGGGAAGGAGCGCAGGTGCAAGGCGGAGGGAGAAGGGGGGGACTTCCAGCCTCTGTGTCCTGTTGTCTAGTGCAGCGATGTCTCCTGTTGTTGTCGGCTGCTCTCTGTCTCTCTCTCTCTCTCTCTCAAGCTCCAGTGCATTAATTAACAAAGATCGATGAACGCTGCCTGGGGTGGTGGGGGGTGGTGGGGGGGCAAGAAAACAGCCAGACAACAGGACTGACGTATTGAATCCAACGCTCCTGGGTGGGAATATTCAATGCCGTCCAGTCCTGCTCGGTCACCCAGCAATAGGGAGGAATGACATTCTGCCAAAACCTTCAACCAAATCACAATATTACAGTGACTCTCACATATTTTGTCCACCCACAAAAGACACAGTCACTAACTATACTTTACAGTATATTCCGTGAAGCACTTTGGTACGTCTCGATGACTTAAAACGCTGCATCAAATGTACGGCTTAATATCATTATTATGGGTCCCTGTAGCTCAGGGGTTAGACCCCTCCCCTCGCAAGCCAGAGGACCCGGGTTCGATTCCCAGGCGGGTCAGGTCAGGGCGAAAGCTTAGGCGAGTTTCCTGACTACACACACACACACAGAGACACGACACCGCACGCCTGTTTACCCAGTAAGTAGGACCCGCTTGTTAGTCGATTGGCGGATTGCTTTTCCGGGAGTAACAACGCCTTCACAAGAAAATCATAGTTCGGTCACTTCAACCCACGGCTGTTTGCGGGGACGTCGCTGGGCGCGATTGGCTGTCGCCTTTTGCCCACAAAACACACGGTCACTACCCTTTACAGTACATTCTGGTTTGTGCAATACGCTGCCAGCGATTGTTATTACGATTATTACTGTCGTGATGACTGAGTGGTTATCCGTGGGATGGAGCGAGTCGCTTGCATTTGGTGCAGCGCCTTATGACCACGCGCTCGCGACGGCTCAAAGCCCTTCACGGGATAATACCGTAGAGAGTGTGGTGACCGAGTGCTTTGAGTGGGAGTGAAGCTGCGGGGAGTCGGGGAAGGGTTTGAGTGGGAGATCCCCCCCCCCCCACCCCACCCCGGAGGAAATGTTATTGGGGAAAGGGCAAGCCACGAGAAGCTCAGCTCAGCCGCACGCTGAGAGCTACTGCTCTGGACTGAAACACTTTGAATCGCTGCCAACGAGTTTGCAAAGGACGTCTTCAAAGAGATCAGCGTCCCGGAACATTCCACCACCACCACCATCACCACCACCACCACCACCATCATCATCATCACCACGTCTCCTTATGAGCTGATCGGTCTCCACCCAGAGAGCAGACTGGCTTTCACACTCCCCACACACACACACAGATACCCCACCCCCACAGATACCCCCCCCCCCCCCACACACACCCACACACAGATACCCCCCCCCACACACACACACCCACACACAGATACCCCCCCCACACACACACACACACACAGATACCACCCCCCACCACACACACACACACGGCACTGGCTGCCGCGTTTCGCCCGCAAAATAACACGGTCACTACACTTTACAGTGTATCCTGAGAAGTGCTTTGAGACGTCTGGAAGACGTGGCATAATAATCCTTGCATTAGCATTACTATTCATATTATTATTATTATTATTATTAAGTGGCCGGGTTTAAGTCGCTCATTCTGCAATGACGGACAGGGAAGGAGTCAAAAGTTACAGCGTAAATCAGAGGGAATATTGCTATAGGAACGGAGGAGTCCAGAGAGAAGATCGGAGCAACAAGACTGATAATCCCTTCCTCTCCTGTTGGCGAGAACTCAATAGGGCAGAAAGAGGAAGGAAAGCGATCAGATTACAGCAACTGGACCCACGGACACACACACACACACACACGCGCGCGTCTGAGAGGAACACCTCCAAGACAGACTCGCACAGACGATCAATCCGGAGAGATTTTGACGGCAGAGAGGACAACAACAACAACTTGCATTTGCCAGCGACCTTCAAGAGGGGTAGGGGAGAGAGAGAGAGAGGGAGGGAGGTGGGGGGTGGGTGGGCGGGGGAGAGGTGACCTCTCCCCCTGAAGTGACCGGTGGAGGAGCAGAGGGGCAAACAGGAGGTTGGAACCGGCCGAGCGGAGGAAGGACCTTGCGATGGGTGTAGACAACTTAAATTAAATTAAATAATACAATTCTAAACGGATTTGCTCGAAAAAGTGAAAACCCTCATCCAAACTTTCGGAAGCACCGAGTCAGCAGCAGCAGCAATAATAATAGTAATAGTGATAACAATCCTCGCATTTGCTGCAGCCCCTTAACACGTCGTTCAGACCTCTCAAAAAGAGCTTCACAAGATATACTGTAAAGTGCAGTGACTGCATTTATTCTGTGGGCGGAACGTGGCAGCCACACTTGCGCACAGCGACGTCCCACGAATAGCCGTGGATCGGGTGACCACATTATTATTGTTGTCAGATGGGGACCGAAGGCTCTTTTTCATCCAAACCCATCTTGTGAAATCATTTAACATCATTCGACATTATCCCGACACTGCACTTTGCGATTGACAAGTTATCTCGTCGACTTCTTCTGCCACCACCAGATGGGGATGTTAGACTACCATTTGCAACGAGCACTTCCTGTGTTTGCCCCATGTTCTTGCCCCCCCGTTCCACCCTCCTCTTCTCCCTCCTCCTCCCCCTACTTCACCACCAGCCGCCCCTCCACTCTGCACACAAACAGAACACAAACTCACCTTTCTGTTTCTTTCCGTGTGGCTGGGGGATGGTTAGGAGCAACGTGGGATGGACATGGGAAAAGATAATGGATGGAATCTTGGCCTCCTAATGTGTTGTCCATCTCTAAGGAGTTCGTCTCCGAACACGTAAGAACATAAGAATTTTCTGGACGAAAGAAGGACAAGGTCCATCCAGTTCATCTTCCACCAACCAACCAACCAACCATCCTGGCAGTCGCTTGCACATGTCCTGCACAAAGTCAAAGGGATTCAATTGGAAAGTGTTTCGCTCTCTGGACCTGTGCTCACATCTAACCACCACCACCCCATCCTCACTCCTGGGGGTAAACATGGCTTTGGCCTGTTGACTAGTTGAGGACAGAACAAGGTGGGGGCATCATCTTAAAATTGGAGCTGAGCCATTTAGGAGTGAAATCTGGAGGCAATTTTGCACACAAAAGGAAATCTGGAACTCTCTCTCTCTCCCCTCCCCCTAAAGGCTGTGGATTATGGCCAAGATCCTTTCACATTGTCCAGACTGAGATGGAGAGATATTTCTTAGGTCAGGGCATTGAGGGATAAGGGTGGCTAATTGGAGTTGAGATCAGCCGTGATCTAACAGAATGTCGGAACAGGCTCGAAGGGCTGAATGGCCTCCCCTGTTCCTGTGTCGGTTGCACAGCTGGAAGCAAACAGTTAAAACGACTCCTTCCTCTTGACACAGCGTCACTCGCTCCCAAAGCACTTGACAGGATATGGCTGTTCAGTCTGCTACGGCTGTTGGTTTTTACAAGCCAAAGTGGCAGCCATTTTACCCACAGCAACACCTCCCCACAAACAGCCGTGAAGGGAGTGAACGGTTTTTACCTGCGGGGTGGGGGTGGGGTGGGGGGGAGTGGGGGGAGACTGTTAGAATCACAGAACTTTCCTCCACAGCAGGAGGAGTCCTGGAGCTCAGTGGTCAGACCCCTCGCAAGCGAGAGGACCTGGGCGGGTCAGGGCGAAAAGTTGGGCAAGTTTCCTTACTCCACACACACCCACTCCTCCGTTGTACCCAACAGTAAGTAGGAACCCAGACGTTAAGTCGATTGGTGGATCGTTTTCAGGGGGTAATAATCCCTCCGAAAAAACATGATAATAATTTGGTCAGTCATCCACGGCTGTTTGTGGGGACGTCGCTGCGCGCAATCGGCTGCCGCGTTTTGCCCACAAAATATACAGTCAATTCACTTTACAGCGTATATCCTGTGAAGCTCTTTGAGACGTCTCAACGACGTGATAAGACGCTGTGTCAAACGCGATTATTAGTAATATCATCATTACAACGGTAAAAAACACAAAGAATTCAAGAGACCACCTTTCGCTCAGAACGGGACTTAGAATAATTATTCGGAATATATACATTATTGCTTCCGAGGTCAAAGGCCTCGCTTTTTGGTACAGTTTTTTTTTTTAAAAATACACTTTTTTTTGGAAGAAAAGAAAATCACGACACAATAAAAAAAAGCATTTTTTTTCCTTAAAAAAAATGAGAAGGAAACGCACAGATGGGAAATCACAAAAACACGGATATCTGTTGGTTTGTTTGTTTGTTTGTGTGTCTTTCGCTTTTACATCTGACGTAAAAATGATCCGATGCATTCAGTTTCCAGATTAATTGCCGCAGGCAAATCAAAGTTATTTGATTCATAAATGGGGTGGGGGGGGGGGGGGGGGAGAGGGGGGAGAATACACACTCAATAGAAAAGGAACCTTGTGGATTTCATAAGTTACAGAGGAATGTGAAATTAGTTGGTTTTCTTGAGGATTCCTCAACAAATCAATAAAAGTCGCTCAAGTCGATCTGTACAAATCTCCGTATGGCCATTTACCCAATTTTCGTTGAATTTCCTATGACTTTTTGCAAGTTCGAGGTAACTCATGCTTTGCATAAGTCTTGGGACGTCCTCCGGACGTGAAAGGCGCTGAGACAAATGTAATTTTATATTGTATTGTAAGTCATGATCTGCCACTGGTCAACTAACCCCAAACCAGCGATGTCAAGGGCTCACACGCCCACCGTGGATTCATTCTCCAGAACCAGGATAGGTTGGGCCCGGCTGGTTATACAGTGAGTCGCTGCCCACACACACACATACACACAGGGCTCGCAACACCACCACCAGCACATGAGGTTTACACGGCGCCTGGCTTTCACGTCGGGAGCACGTCCCAAGGCGCTGGGCTGGACGGTCAGGGATTTGGACCCGAGCTGGGGATTGGGATCGGGAAGGGGGTGGAGGGCGGGGAAGGTGTGGGGTAGGGGGTAAGAGGGTCGGCCGAAGGCACAGTCGAAGAAAAGGATCTCAAGATGGGCCTTGAAGCAGCCGAGGGAAGTGGCCAGGCAGAGGGACTGTGGGATGGATTTCCGGAGGGTGAGGGCCTGAGGGCAAGTTATGTGGTGTTAGCTGTTAGACTCTTAGCAGTTATCCCCGTGGCCTGTTTTCTCCTCTCCACGTTGTTCCTCCTGGCCAAGGTCAGGGGATATTTAATTGGTTTAATTGTAATTTTAATTAGTGTCTCAAGGTCTCAATGGGAACTCAGCCTCACCCGACACCCCCCCACCCCAAGGAAAGCTGTGTGACTGAGCTTCCAGTGAAAGAGAAAACTTTTGAGTCCTGTAGCTCAGGGGTTAGAGGCCTCGCCTCACAAGCGAGAGGACCCGGGTTCGATTCCCAGGTGGGTTGGGGCGAAACCTTGGGCAAGTTTCCCTCCTCCACACACTCACACACACACACACACACACACCTCGGTTTATCTCGCGGTATGTAGGAACCTGCTTTGTTAGCCACTTGGCGGATCACTTTCCCGGGGGTTTAATAATCCTTTCAAAAAATAATAAATTTGATCACCGAGTCCACGACGGTTTGTGGGACGTCGTTGCGCGCAATTGGCTGCCGCGTTTCGCCCATAAAACATACAATCAGTTCACTTGACGGTATATCCTGTGAAGCGCTTTGAGACGTCTCGAAGACGTGATAAGGCGCTGTATCAAAAATGCAAGGATTATTAAAGGGGCCATCCCTCTAACCTTTGGTAATAGCAGTCACTTATATACCCTTTGAAGTCTAGAGAGAGGGTGAAAGGGTACGATACAGAAGTCTAATACTAGAAACAAAGAACACCTTAAATTAATTAATTAAGACTACAAACAACAACAAACAAACGAGTAGCTATTTTTTCCAGGTAATACTGCAGGTGAGAGGCACTTGTTTTCAAACACGAATTGTCTGTGTCTCGTTCTTTTTTTTTGACGTCGAACAAAGTGAATACTTTTATCGTTTCAAAGTCTTTTGCTTCTGTTCTTGTCCGAGTCCCCAGGGATCGCGATTTTGCTTTCCGTCTTGTTAATACTGCGATTGTTATCATGTGGATCCCTGGGTTTCCTTCATGTGGTGAGGGGGCGAAATAGGAGGAGGGAGGGAGGGATGGAGAGAGAATGAGAGGAGAGTGGATTTATACATTCCCAATATTCACTCCTCTTTCTCCTCCGATACACCCCCAAGGGAAACTTTTTCTCCCTCTCACCCTCAACCCCTCCCAGTGTTGCCCAAATGTCCTTGTCACTGTGCTGAGTTGGGGGGGCGTTGGATTAAAATCCTTCGTTCGAGAGAAACATTGGGATCCCCACCTCCCTCCCTCCCTCCGTCCCTCCCTCTCTCAAGCATTTGCCAAAGGCACTGTTCATAGTCCGACGGCTTATTCTGGCTTCCGCCGCTCTCTCTCACTCCCTCTTTCTCTCTCTCTCGAGCCGTCTCCTGCAGTCACGTCTCACCGTGTCTGCGTGTCGATATGGTTGACTTCTAAGATCTGCGGAGAGAGAGAGAGAAAGAGAGAGGGAAAGAGAGAAAGAGAGAGGGAGAAGTGAGCCATGGTCAGGAGCCAGCACTTTAACAACACATGACATTTACCCAGCTCCCTTCACGTCGGGAGGACATCCTGAGGCGCTGGACGGTCAGGGAATTGGAACTGAGATGGGGGTTGGGATCAGGAGGGCGGGGAGGGTGGGCGTAGGAGGGTGACCGAAGGCGCGATCGAAGAGGAGGGTCTTGAGAGGGGGCCTAGAAGTTTTGGGGGTTGTTTTGGTCAGCACACGCGGAAACTCATCACCGTTGCTTAAGAGTCTCCAAACCCAACTGAGAATTCCTCACATCCCACCCACACCTGGGAATCCCAGAGAGAGGTTATTGGAATGGAATGGGCTCTCTCTCCCTCTCCCCTTCCATTGTCCAGTGTGGAGTCCTGTAGCTCAGTGGTTAGAGCACTCGCTTTGCAAGTGAGAGACCTGAGTTCAATTCCAGGCAGAGGGCGAAACCTTGGGCAAGTTTCCTTACTCCACACGCCTAATAATAATCCCTCCAAAAACCCCAAAACAATAATAATAAATTGGTCATTTTCAATCTACGACTGTTTGTGGGACATTGCTGTGCGCAATTGGCTGCCGCGTTTGCCCACAAAATATATACAGTCAATTCACTTTACAGTGTGTTCTGTGAAGCGCTTTGGGACGTCCTCCCGACGTGAAAAGCGCTATATCAAATGCAAGGATTATTATTATTATTATTATTATTATTATTGAAAACAAGACTCCCCCCTCCTCCCCCCCGACACCACAATGGAAATAACTGTATAGAGAGAGAGAGAGAGGGACAGACCTGTCCAACTGCAGACTGTAGAGAGTCCACCATCATTAACAGTTGAACTCTTCAGACAATGACGTTTCAGCAAAGAACCGGGAACCACGCTTCGCAGTCCGAGCTGTGAAGGGGGCGCTCTTCAGCACTGGGGAGAGAGGGGGAGAGAGAGAGAGAGAAGCGAGGAGAAAAGAGAAAAAAATATAGTTTACACAGGGTCTTTCACTGCCTCCCTCCCTCCCCACGTCCTCCAACAACAACACATGACATTTACACGGCGCCTCTCATTTCAGGAGGACGTCCCAAGGCGCTGGACAGTCAGGGGTCAGGACACGAGCTGGGGGTTGGGATTAGGAGGGGTGGAGGGTAAGGGGGTGGGAGGGTGACCGAAGGCACGGTTGGTCGAAGAGGAGGGTCTGGAGACGGGTCTTGAAGGAGGCGAGGGAGGGAGTGAGGGAGGGAGCGAGTGAGGGGAGATTTGAAGTGTTTAGGTTTTTAAAGTTTTATTTTAGTAAAAAGTCCTCTACCCCCAGCCCTCTCCCCTTCCCCCCGCACCTCACCCCTTCCCCACCCTTGGCCCCCTCCCCCTCCCCTCCATCCCTCCCCTCTGCTTCCTCCCGCACCCCTCCCCGCGTGTTACCTGTGATAATATCTTCAATGGCCCCATCTTTGCCTTCGTACACCGGTCGATGTTCTTTGACCTGACGTCTCCGCAGCTCAGCGATTAGCTCCTGCTGCTGCCGCTTGTTCCTGTGAGACGGAGACTGGGAAGAAAACAGGAAAACAAAGGAATCAGAAAAAACAATAACAACAATAATAATATTCCTGGCATTCGACCCGGCGCCCGATCACACCTCAAAGAGCTTCACAGGATACACTGTAAAGGGTAGTGACTGTGTATTTTGTGGGCGAAACGCGGCAGCGTCCCCACAAACAGTCCTGGACTGAGTGACCAAATTTTTTTTCTTCTCTGAAGGGATTATTATCCCCGGAAAAGTGATCCACCAATTGAATAACAACCGGGTTCCTATATACAGCTGTAAACACAGGCTCGTGTGTGGGGGTGGGGGAGTAACCGAATTCTGGAGAGTATTAGGCGCAGGTTGGCGAGAGCCAAGGCTTGGGGTGGGTGGTGGGGGGGGGCCCAGAGTGTGCGTTGGGGGTAACTGCTGGAGTCTAACCAGCTAAACCCATACAGAGCTCGGCCACTGAGAGAGAGAGAGAGCGCTGTCTGGTCAAGCCTTTCCCGCTGCCTGTCCAGAGAGGACCACCCTCCCCGTTAGTTAGGGCTTCGAGTTAACAGGAGCAAGATCCAATCGGGGGGGGGGCTTTACCTTTTGGTCCTGTTGTTGTTGTTTGACTTCCTGAGCCAACATCTTCTCTCTCAACGCTTGTTCCTGTTTCTTCCTTTGCTCGTTTTCCTGTTCCGCTTCCTGGGGACAGATCAGAGGAGTGAGGCGTCCGAGATTAGAGTAGAGACAGCTACAGTGGGGGGGGGGAGCGAGCCCCCAGCACAGACACGATGGGGAGAGAGAGAGAGAGAGAGAGCAGGGAATGGAGATAGAGTCAGTGCTGGCCGGCACCTGTTGCCTGGGGTAACGCGTGGGGAATGCGGAGGGGGCTGGGGTTGTTTGCGCTATGGCTTCCTGGCATTGTCCTCAGGTGCCTCCTGTTTCCTGTCGGCCTCATGGCCACCTGGTTTCAGCCGCAGACTTAAACCTAATACTGCGCTCCGAGGATGTGAGTAACCAGCTCGCAATCAGCCGGCATTGAACCGCGAGGGAGGATTCCCTGCCCCCCCCTCCTCACCCCAAGCTTTCCCACTGCTTGTCCAGCGAGGACCCCCCCTCCCCGCTAGTTAGGGCTTTGGTTGCAGGTTAACAGGAGCCGAGGGGGAGGATTCTCTGCCCCCAGTGACTGGTCGGCCCTTCCAGGTCCTGCCGATGGCTGAGCCGGGCCGGGCTGGGCTGCCATCAGCAGTGAGTGCCCTGGGACACCGCGGCCCCTCCTGGCTCAGGAACCGGGGGCTCGAGACCGTCACAGAGAAGGCCATTTAGGAGTAAAATCAGGAAGCATTTTATTACACAAAAGGGAATCTGGAACTCTCTCTCTCTCCCCAAAAAGGCTGTGGATTATGGCTGTGGTTCCATTCACATTGTCCAGACTGAGGGGGTCAGATGTTGGTCGGGGGATCGAGGGGAGACGGGGCAAAGGGGGGTTACAGATCAGCCATGATCTAACAGAATGGCGGAACAGGCTGGAGGGGCTGAATGGGGGATACGGGCTGGAGGGGCTGAATGGGGGGTGGGTACAGGCTGGAGGGTCTGAGTGGGGGGGTACGGGCTGGAGGGGCTGAATAGGGGGTACAGGCTGGAGGGTCTGAGTGGGGGGGTACGGGCTGGAGGGGCTGAATAGGGGGTACAGGCTCGCTCAAAACAGCTTAGATCTGTTCGCCAATAACATCTGGGGATACAGTGTCGAGTTCGCGACACCTTGGAATGTCCTCCTGACGTGAAAGACGCTATAACGGGTGTAATTTGTTTGGTGGACGGAGAACGGGCGCCTCACAAATTCTTATGTTCTCACCCTGTAGGACTTGACGAAGCGGACAAACACCGGGAAGAACACGGACGGAGGTGTTGTTTTGGGATTTTCTCCAAAGTAGCCAACCACCGCGCTGTAGGCTTCCTGTAGTGAGGGGAGAGAGCGAGAGAGAGGAAATGACGATAATAATCCTCGGATTTGATGTACCGCCCAGTCACGTCTTCGAGACGTCTCAAAGCGCTCCACAGGATGCACCGTAAAGCGAATCGACCGTGCAATTTGTGGGCGAAACGCGGCAGCCAATTGCGCACAGCAGTGTCCCACACACAGCCGTGGTTTGAGTGACCAAATTATTATTGTTATTATCATTTTTCAAGGTATTATTAGCCCCGGAAAGCTATCCTCCAATCAACTAACAACCAGGTGTACGCGTGTGTGTTGTGTGTGTGTGTTGAGCGACCAATTTTTTTTGTGGGCTTATTACTAAGTAATTATTATTATTATTAATTATTATTAATGCACGGGTTTAATCGCTGGTCTAACGGAGAGGCGTCGAGACGCTCCCGGTGTACTTACATCCCCACTTTCAAATCCCTCGATCGTGCTTACGGTCATCTCTCCCCACACCCTTCCCTCAGCCACCCCCCCCCCACCACCCACCCCCTGGCCTCGGGGTCAGAGCCCCCCACCCCACGTGAAGGACGCTGCGTAAACGCAAGTTGTTGCTGTTGTTACCTGTGCGGTTTTGGAATCCTTCTGCAGCTTCTCCAGGTTGGCCTCGTTCCTGGCCAGGAATTCCTTGAGGACCACATTGTGGTCGTGCCGACTGCACTCCCTCCTGATCAGCTCCATGTTGTGTCCCATCTCCTTCACATCCAGCAGCACGTTCTCTAGCGACACTGCAGCCCAGTGAGGGGGGGGGGGGGGGGGTGGTTGGTGTGGAGGGGGCGGGTTGGGAGAGCACGTCAGCACCTCACCCACAGCCTGGCCAGACTCCCACCACCCCCACCACTCTCCCCGCCACACCCCACAGACTCCCCAACTCTAAACACCCGCCCGCTTCCTCAGCTCAGAGGGCACCGGCCTGCTTCATGTCTGCCTCACACTCACACACATACACTGTCTCACACACACGCATTGTCTCTCTCACACACTCGCTCACATACACACACGTACACTGTCTCACACATACACTCGCGCTCATACACACACAGTCTCTCTCACACACACACTCACTCTCACACTCACACACACTGTCTCATACACGCACTTGCTCTCACACACACACTGTCTCACACCCACGCACGTGCTGTTTTTCCGAGATGCACGCTCTCCCGTGCTCGCATCCACACTCTGCTCAGTCTCACACTTGCACACTTTCTCTCGCACGCTCACCAACATCCACACTGTCTCGTTCGCTCGCTCACACACACACACACACTCCCTCCCACCCTCCCTGCCCACCTTTAAAGCCTGCCTCGACACCCTTGTGTTCAACCGCGCTCTCGTTCCCACCCCCCACACCACCGCCCCCCCCACCCGCCAACACACTCATTGCGGGGGTTGACTGGTATGTAACCCCCTGCTCACTCTGACGTCTCATTTGCCCCCTTGCCCCCCCCCCGCCCCCCGACACTCACCTGCAGCTGCTTTGTCAATGAAGTGCAGTTCGCTCCAGAAGTTAGTGATTTCCGCATATTTCTCTTTTATGACAATAGCGATGTAGTGCAATAGGGTGAGTTTTCTGTCAGTGGATTTGGTGTCCAGGAGCTGCAAAGGGGAAAGGATATTCCGAGTTAACCTTCCAACCCTCCGGGAAAGAACAAGGGGACTCGGAGCCACACCCAGTCTGAGCCTGGAATGTCTCACACGGTCACTACCCTTCACGGTAAAACCTTGCAACGCGCCTTGAGACACGAATAGGCGCCATCTCACGCGTAAGCAGTAAACGCGGGGAGGACACAGAGGCGGGTCACAGAGGTGGGGAGCCAGGAGCAAGGCCGTGGAGCGGTTTGATGGCGAGGGCAAAGAGCTGTGCTTTTTGTTCCCAGGCTGGGAATATGAATGTGTAAACAACAGGAAATAAATCAACTTACAAGATCTAGACTCTGCAGCTTAAAGCCGTACACCGATCCTCTCTTACTGCTGTTCATGTAGTTGCCCAGAGCGAGGATGATCTGGAGGTGGTGGGGGAAGGAGCTGAGGTTAGTTCAAAGACGTTGGAAAACTCGCCCCTCTCGCCTTTGCCAGGCATCTGATACACGCAGAAACCCATCACTGCGCTTAAAAGTGGAGTTAGGGTGAGAGCCCTCGCCTCGCGAGTGAGAGGACCCGGGTTCGATTCCCGGGCGGGTCAGGACAGGGCGAAACCTTAATCAAGTTTCCTTACTCCACACACACACACACACGCGCGCGCGCCTCTGTTTATCAGCAGTAAAAAGGAACCCGGTTGTCGGTCGATTGGAGGATCGCTTTCCAGGGGTAATAATCCCTCAAATGAAAAATTTGGGTCACTGAATCCATGGCTGTTTGTGGGGATACTGATGTCCGCAGTTGGCTACTACAATTTGCCCACAAAACACACAGTCATTACACTTTACAGTGTAATCTGTGAAGCACTTTGAGACGTTCCGACGACATGATAAGGTGCTGTATCAAAGGTAAGGATTATTATTATTATGAGTCTCCAAATTAGACAGAGTTCCACATATGCGTACGCCATCTACACAAGGACATACATGTCCCCCCCCCACCCCCACTTCTGAAATTGAGCCTCTGATATTCCCGATGAGAGACAATTCCAAGTGTTAACAAGAACCAGCCTCACCTCCAACATCCGCTTTAATTTCTGTGAGGATTTGATAGAAGCCGAAGCCGCGATGATAGCATTGAGTTGCTGGAAGAAAAGAGATAAATACAATAAACAAGACATTCTCTACGTCGGGACCAGAAGGTTGTGGGTTCAAACCCCCCCACATAGGACTCGGAATAAATAGTCATTTTTCCTGCCAGGTGTATGGAATCAAGTACTCTCTCTCTCTCTTTAAACCTCGCCTCAAATCCTACCTCTTCAACCGTGGCTCTGACCACCTGCCCCTTTCGCCCCCTCTCCCCCAAGTGACTGACTGCACTGTAGTGTAGTGGTTAGAGCCCTCGCCTCGCAAGCGAGAGGACCCGGGTTCGATTCCCGGGTGAGTTGGGGCCTTAGGCAAGTTTCCTTACTCCACACGCACACACACACACACGCGCCTCTGTTTACCCGCTTGTTAGTCGATTGGCGGATCGCTTTCCGGGGGTAATAATCCCTTCAAAAATAATAATAGTACGGTCACTAAATCGATGACCCTTTGTGGGGACACTCAATCCAACTGTTGGGATTGGCTGCCGCGTTTCGCCCACAAAATACACAGTCACCACACTTTACAGTATATTCTGGGAAGCGCTTTGAGACGTCTGAACGACGTGATCAGATTATTACAGTTGTTATATTAGTATCATCGCTACTGGCGTTATTAATTGTTGTTGCCAACGCCATCGTTGTCGGTATTTGCAGAGAGAGGCCTCGGACGCTCACCGGGTTCAACATCTGCAAGTTGTCGGCAAAGTTGCCGATGAAAGTCATGATGGTCATTCTCTGGGGCAGGCGCTCGATCTTGCAGAACTGCAGCATGAAGCGGTCCTCGTTAGACAAGTCATCCAGAGGCTTCCTCTCCTTCTCGTACTGTTTGAGCAGCTTCACCTCGGCCTCCAGAGGGAGGAACCGGTTCAGGCACTCCACAAAATCCAGAGGCAACGTCTTCAAGTCGTACCTACGGGACGGGAACGCAAGGCCCGAGGTTTAACGTTTCATCCGAAGGAGGGCACCTCCGGCAACGGGACACACGCACACGCGACACACACACACAAACACGCGCGCGCACACAAATGCACACACACGCACAAATACATACACGCGCGCGCACACACGCACACAAACACACACACAAATTCACACACACACACACACACACATGCGCGCGCACACATTTACACACACAGCTTAGACTGTGTGATTCCAAGTCCCTGACATCGGGGCTTGAACCCATAACATTTTGACCCAAGAGACGAGAGAGAGAGAGAGAGAGAGCGCTACCGACTAAGACAGGCTGACACATTAATGTGGAAGATTCCCTGCCTGTGCAAACTCTCCCTGTGTCTCGGGACGGTGATGGAACCTCAACAACAACACATGGCATTTACACAGTGCCTTTCACCTCGGGAGGACGTCCCAAGGCGCTGGACAGTCGAGGATTTGGACCCGAGCTGGGGGTTGGGATCAGGAGGGGGTGGAGGGCAGAGCGGGGAGGGTGGGGATAGGAGTGTGATTGAAGGTGCAGTTGAAGATGAGGGTCTTGAGACTGGCCTTGAAGGAGGCGATGGAGTGGAAGAGGGACTGTGGAATGGAGTCAGCCCTCCACAGTCTCTAGCCCTGAGCCAGGAGGGGCCGCGCTGTCCCAGGGCACTCACTGCTGATGGCAGCTCAGCCCGGCCCGGCTCAGCCATGGGCAGGACCTGGAAGAGCCGACCAGTCACTGGGGACAGGGAATCCTCCCCCTCAGCTCCTGTTAACCCTGCAAGGAGATCCCTGGAGTGACAGATGGACGGGATGAACTGACAGACGTCACAACTTACATCTGAATGGCTCGGCAGATCTCCTCGGTTGTCTTGCCCGCCTTACGCAATGTGATGGCCAGATTCTTGGCCCGATTGGCCTCTAGCAGGGTGACCTTGCTCAGGGATTTCTGCGAGCTCTTGGCTTTCTGGCACGAGACCTCCAAAGCGGGCCCCTGGGCCTTGGTCTTGAACAGATCCTCAAACTCATCCAGGTTCAGTTCCTACCACACACGCCCAGCGAGCAGGTTATACAGGCAAAAAACATTGGCCGAGACTCTTTTTTAGATCCATCCTTCCTCCTCCGCCCATCATGCCCTGTCCTCCTTAGCCCCTCCCTTCCTCCCCCCCACCCAGCCCCTAAGCCCCACTCCTGTGTACAACGTGTGCCATCAATCGCCTTCCAAACCCCTTCCAAAAGGGACATCATGGAAACATATGAACAGGAGGAGGCCATTCAGCCCCTCAAGCCTGTTCCGCCATTCTATAATGGCTGATCCCTGATCAAGGGATGCAGACAATTAGCCTCTCTTGCCCCATATCCCTTGATACCCCGACTTAACAAACATCTACGATCATCATCAAACAAACTCAAAACTCATTTTACCTCCAGTATCTTCTCATCGTCAATCTCGGTGAAGACGGTGCCATTGATTTGGTTGGGTTTCAGGGCCATCCAGTTAAACACCGGCAAACGGAACTTGGTTTTAATGGGTTTCTTTATCCGGATTGCTGGGAGGAGAGACAACGGGATTCAACGACAACTTGGGACTTACATAGCGCCCTTCACGAAGGGCAGCGTCTCAGAGCGCTTAACAGTGGCGGAGCCTGACTCCAAGCCGGGGGAGTGGGGGAAGAGAGGAGGTGACGGTTAACAAGGTTGAACAGGAAGGTCTTCTGTCGTGATCTAAAAGAGGGGAAGGAGGGAGGGGGACGAGGCGGAGGGAATGGGGGAGCGATCCAAAGCTTCAGGGTGTAGTGGCTGAAAGTGTGGCCCCCATTGGTGGAGCACAAGGGATAAGCCGGAGGCTGGAGCCGGTTGAGGACATACATACAGACAAAACCCAGAGTGTGAAGGGCCTTGAGATGTTTTGACGAGGTGATAAGGCGAAGATTAATTATGATTATTACTGTTACCTGATAATCCAACACTGAGGATCACCGACAAGGAGCTTCCTGGTAGAGGAGGGGCTACTGGTGCCGGGGGCGGTGGGGGTGGGATCATACCTGGAGAACAAAAGCCAAAAGTCATCGGGTAAACTCCAGAAAATTACAGTCAACTCCTGGCTGTAATGTGGCTGGGGATGTGGAACCTTACCGGGTAAGGGTGGAGCGACTGGTGGGGGTGGAAGGGATGGGGTTGAATCTGGGACACGGGTGGGGCTGTGGGGTAGCCCGTCTGGAGTGTCCGAGGAGCCAATGGACATGTCTCCGTCCTGGCTTCTGCGATGGGCTCCCTCCAGGTCCTGGCAGCGTTTGTCTCTGTGGAATTGCCGTTGGAAAGCTTCCTCTTTCTCCTTGATCATCCTCCGCAGGGTGTGGACCTGGCTGCTGGCGTCTTTGTACGTCTCCTGCCAGGGACGTGCAGAGCATGAGTTAACACACGTTCAGCTTCAGGGCTCCCCCACACCCCCTCCCCCCCTTCCTCCTCCAACCCTGTCCACTCCACTCTCAAGGTCCACGTTTTCAACCCACCCCACCGCTCTACACAGGAACAGGAGGAGACCAGTCAGCCCCTAGAGCCTGTTCCGCCATTCTATTAGAATCGGTACCTCAACTCCAATTACCCACCTTTGCCCCGTATCCCTCGATACCCTGACCTGACCAACATCTGCCCACCTCAGTAGATATTCCTGTACGTCAGTGGAAGATTATTCCCACCAATTAACAACCGAGTGATGAGACCCTCACCCCCAATGACGGACATGGTGGGGTTACCATAGGAATGGGGATGGCTCACCTTGATGGCTTCCAGTTCTTTATCTCGAAAGAGAAGCTGCTTTTCCAGTTCAGCCACTCTCATCATGTTGTCATTCTCCAGGTCATGGAGCTTCTCCGATAACTGTTGAGGAGGGGGGGAAACGGAAAGGAAAGAAGATGGACGAGAGGTGAGGGGGCGTGGGGGGCGGGGGCGCGAGGGAGGGATGAGAGGGGAGACAGAGAGGAGAGGCTATCAGTCACATTAACTTCATAGCAAAATGTCACCCATCTTTCTCAGACCCTGAAGCCATCACATTTCCCCCCGTTGAACTGGCCCCAAGGTGACATGTTGGCAATGGAATATTGGCCCTCTGGTCACTAGTCCCCAGTTCCTGAGCCAGGAGGGGCCGCAGTGTCCCAGGGCACTCACTGCTGATGGCAGCACAGCCCGGCCCATCCATCGGCAGGACCTGGAAGGGCCGACCAGTCACTGGGGGCAGGGAATCCTCCCCCTCGGTCCTGTTAACCCCGCAGCCAAAGCTCTAGCTGTTAGGTCAGCCCCAAAAACACATCCAAGGGAAAAAACAGTTGGATTTGGAAACACAAAAGCGTCACTATTGACATGTCCATGTGGGGTCAATAGGGGGCGTTCTAACCCAGGCTCGGCCACTTGGGAGCCCCCAGTGGCAGACAAAAGGCACTGCATGGCACAACAATAACGTGCATTTAGGAGAGGAATAACAAACCTCATTACTGCCTCCGCCAATCCCTCCCTAACCCAGGGCCATTGAAGTCAACTATAGACCCCACCCTCCCACCCCCCATGTTTCCCTTGGGGCTAACTACACAAGCGGAATGTGCAGCATTGTCGGCCTGGCTCAGTGTCAGGCTCTCGCCTCCGAGTCAGAAGGTTGTTGGGTCCCTCATCGGGACTCGAGTGATCATAATAATAATCCTGGCATTTGACACAGCGTTTTATCACTAAAGTTCAGTGACTGTATATTTTGTGGGCCAAACGCGGCAGCCAATTGTGCACAGCAGTCGTGGGTCGAAGTGACTAATTCTGAACTGTTGGAGGTGCCGTCCTTCGCTTGAGACGTTAAACTAAGGTCCGTCTATCTGTTTAGGTGGATATTAAGAGGTGGGCGGGGGGTGGAAGCGAGAGAGAGAGAGAGAGAAAGAGTGTGGGTGGGGAAGAGGATGTCCCTTTACTACCACTCACGTGTGATAAGTGCTCTTCCAGTTCCTCCACCTTCTCCAGGGCTGCGTTCTTGGTTTCAGCGTCCTCCAGCAGCCCCCCAACATCGAAGACATTGTCCAGATAGGCTTGGATCTGCACCTGGAGCTTGTCACTCTCTGTGTGCTTGGATTTCTGTGAGAGAGAGAGAGAGAGGCCAAAGCAGAGCCTCATTGGGTCATCTACCTCAGCTACCATTGGGTTTCAACCGCACTCTTCATCATTGATTGTCCATCATCCCCCTTCCCCCCTCACATACAACCACATCACCAACCCCAACCCCTCACCCCCAAGCCTCTCGCCCTCCTCAAACCTCCCCCTCACCCTCCCAACCCACACTTATACAGTATATAGTTTGGAACATGGATGGTGAATTGGATGGACCTTGGTCTTCTTTTGTCCAGCAAATTCTTATGTTCTCACTCACCCCCCCACCCACGATACCACCAAACACACCAACGACCCCACACGCACACCCCTCCCCACCCCCATTTCCCCCCTCAATCGTGACCTGCCCTGACATTCCCTCTCTCACCTCCAGAAACTCGTCGAGCCCTAGTTTGGTGAACTCGAACTGTAGGTGAACACGGAAGTTCATGTCCTCCACAGAATGTACCACAATGTTGATGAACTGCATACAGGCCACCTGCAGGGTTGGGGGTGGTGGGGGAGGGAGAGAGAGAGAGAGAGGGGGCACTTAGACACCCCGACACACATTCCACACCCCACTCCCTCTGCATTGTAACACACATTACCCGCTCCCCTCCCCGTATAGCTGCTTCCCATTAAAACTTCACGAGATGAGGCGCCGCTATATTAAATGCAAGGATTATTATTACATTGGTATTACTATTGTTATTAAATTATTATTCAATTATTATTAAATTATTACCATTAAATTATTATTATTACTAAATTACTTTAATTAAATTATTATTATTACTCACCATGAAGTCGATGTTGCTGTCCTCGTTTCGGAAATACTCCATCAAGTTTTCGAAGCGATGTTTCTCCTTACACACCTACACACGGAGTAACGTCACAGTCAACATCACAGGAAAGGGGTTTGGATGATCCTTCGGCCCATCCGATCTCACCACCTCCCGTCTGCGCCTCCATCACAGTAGCTTTTTAAATGAGTCCAAGTTCCTGGCCTCAACGACCCCCCCCCACCTCCAACCCCCACCCTGTCCCCGTCAGTCTTGTTCTGCTCCAGTAGTTGAGGAAACTCGTTACCTCTTTAAAGTGGTCGAACGCAGACAGAATGATCTCGTGTCCTCCCCTCACAAGGCACACGGCTGCCAACAACTCCAACACCAGGGCTTTGGTCCTGCAACAGGCAGAGGGAGTGTCACTGAATGGTGACGCAGTCAACCAACCTCACACAAGTCGTAATAATATACAGTCACTACACTTTACAGTATATCCTGTGAAGCGCTTTGAGGTCTCGAAGACGTGATGAGGCGCTGCATTAAATACAAGGATTAACATTAATATCATCCGTCGGAGCCATACACTTGAATCACTCATAGAATCTTACAGCACAGAAGGAGGCCATTCGGTCCATCGGGCCTGTGCTGGCACTTTGAAAGAGACACCAACTAGTCCCACTCACTCCCCCGCTCTTACCCCAACTAGTCTCACTCCCCCACCCGCTCTTACCCCAACTAGTCCCTCTCACTCCCCCGCTCTTACCCCAACTAGTCTCTCTCACTCCCCCGCTCTTACCCCAAAGCCCTGCACATTTCTCTTGATTGGAAGCCATGTTGGTGACAACTCAAGTAGGACAGTAAATAATAACAATAATAATCCCTGAGGTTGATATCTCTTATCATGTCTTCGAGACGTCTCAAAGCCCTTCACAAGAATACACTATGAGGTGTAGTGACTGTGTGTTTTGTGGACGAAGCTCTCTTACCTGGGGTTTTTGTTGTTTAGGCTAAGTGCAATTTCGTTTACAGCGTGCAGGTGAGACATGACCAGGTTGAAGCCATACTGCGAGAGACAAGAGAAGAAACACAGATCAACAACAACAACTTGCATTTATGTAGCGCCTCTCTCTCTCTCCCTCACTTTATCTCTTCATTGCTTCCTCTCTCACTCCTTTCCTTCTCGCTGTCATTCCCTCTCTCGCGCTCTCCGTACCCTGTGCTAGCTTCTTCTTCTCGCTCCCTTTCAACCCTTTTTTCCTGCACGCCCTCTATCTCTCTCTTCCCCCCCTCGGCCTCACACACACACTGACACACACACACACACACACACACAGGAAGCCTGACCTGGTAATTCATGATGGCTCTCAGACACATGATGCAGACATGAACATCGTCCTTGTGACAGACCAGCCTGGAGTTTTTCAGTGTTTTCCTGTCGGGCAGCGTGTTGTAGCTGTGGGGAGGAACTCAAAGAATTACTGAAGGTCCTTGGCCTCACAGGCCACCCAGGGACAGACTAGCCCTGGGGGTAAGAGCAGAACTATAGTCATGCAGAAACAGGCCATTCAGCCCAACGTTGGAAAGAACATATCTTAGTACTTTTCTAATTTTCTCTCCACCGTCTCAAACGTTTCTCTATTCTCAAGTCTGGGCTCCAGCACAACCACAACCACAACAACAACTTGCATTTACACAGCGCCCCTCATGCAGGGTAGTGTCCCAGAGCGCTCAACAGTGGCGGAGCCCGGCACTGAGCCTGGCCGAGGGAAGAGGTGACTGTAGACACGGTCAGACCGGTGTTAATACGGGTGTTCAAAATTATGAGGGGTTTTGATAAGAGTAAAATAGGGGGAGAATCTATTTCCTCTGGCGGGCGGGCGGGTCAGTAACCAAAGGACACAGATTTAAGATCATTTGCCAAAGAACCAGAGGGGAGACCAGACGAGGAGACATTATTTTACCCAGAGAGCTGTTACAGTCTGGAACTCACCGCCTGAGAGACTGGTGGGAGCAGATTCGATAATGGGGAATTGGATAGGGAAAAAGAAAGTTGTGCAGGGCTTTGGGGTAAGAGCGGGGGAGTGAGTGGGACTAGTTGGGGTAAGAGCGGGGGAGTGAGTGGAACTAGTTGGGGTAAGAGCGGGGGGAGTGAGAGGGACTAGTTGGTGGCTATTTCAAAGAGCGGCACAGGCCCGATGGGCCGAATGGCCTCATTCTGTGCTAAGATTCTGTGTGCTTATTTTCGGGAATTTGTGCAGTGTGACTGATATTGGTGATGAGCTGAGATGCAAATATCGATGGAGACGAGAGATAAATGTTTCTGAGAATCAGATCTAAGAACCACAGACTATGTGGTTTCCTGTCTCTGTCGCTCACCTGTGGACACATCATTACACAACAAATAATACCCTCCACACAGTCACCACTGGAGGGAGAGTGTGAGAGAGAGAGAGAGAGAGAGAGACAGACACAAAGAGATAGAGAGGAGGAAGCGATGAGGGAGGGAGATTCCTCTTAGAGTAGAGAAGATTGAGGAGAGATTTAATGAGGGGAGAGAAAGAGAGAGGGAGTGAATGGATGGGGGAAAGAAAGGAGTGTGAGAAAGAGATAGAGAGAGACGAGGGAGGGAGGAAGGGAGGGAGGAGGAGAGAGAGAGAGAGGAAAAGAAAGGAGAGAGAGGGTAACGAGGGAAGGTAGGAGGGAAAGGAGATAAAGAAAGAGAAGGCAGGGGGAGTGGTGGGGGTTGTGGGGGAACGAAAAAGAAGAGAGAAGGAAAGGGCAGAAAGAGGAAAAGGAGAGTTTTTTTAGAATAAGAATGATAAAGATTTTCCTTTAAGGAACACAGCGCCTGATATCACGTGACAAGCGTCTTATCATGTCTTCGAGACGTCTGAAAAAGCTTCACAGGAAACACTTCACAGAATATACCTCCTCCTCCCCCCCCACCTTCTCCCCGTCCGTCCCTCCCGCCGCCGCCCTCTCCGCACAGAGCAATACAGCGTCAGCACAAATAGCAATCAGCAGGGAGCCCGCACACATCGCAGCACGTTGAGAAAGCGCAGGTCCAGAGATGTAATGGTGCCCGTGTCCCATCAATGCTCTCTGAGATGCTAAGGGCTCCCCTCACCACCTGCCCTGCGCCCGCCCCTTCCTCTGCTCACTAATGGTCATCGAGGCCCTTTAAAGAACGTGTCACACAGACGGCAGCCCAATAACTGGGCAGAGACTGGCATCTCCTCACTTAACCCTGGCCTCTCGTAGACTTCCAGTCTGACCACCTTTATAACAACATATACACACAGACACATACATATACACTCACACACACACACATATACACTCACACACACATATATACACACACACACACACATATATACACACACACATATATACACTCACACACATACAGGAACACACACACATACATATATACTGGAACACACACACACAGACACACACACACACACAACAGGAAATATATTTTAAAGGGTAGAACCACATATGATGATCGAAGTTGATTTCCTGGAACTCGAGTTGACTTTTGACTTTAAACACTGAGTACTGATAGTGAGAGCAGTTGTCTTGTGGTCTGAAAACTGGTGCAGACTTGATGGGCCAAATGGCCTCGTTCTGCTCTGTACATTTCCATGATTCTATTCTGCGATGTCTAGGAACCTTCCCGCTGCTTGTCCAGCGGAGACCACCCTACAGGATAGGGCTTTGGCTTGTAGCCTATACTGTAAAGTGAATCCACTGTATAATATTTTGTGGGCAACGTATATTTTGTCTGCTCTAAGGAGAACGATCTCTAGTCTCTCCACGTCACTGAAGTCCCTCATCCCTGGTATCGTTCCAGGAAACGATGGAGTCCCGGTTTAAGCTCGAGGGTAAATAATAAAATAAAAGTCTCCTGGTACTTCCCCCCTCTGGTTCTATTGTCAAGTGACCTGCGACATGTAGCACTGATGAGATGAGACACTGATTACATCCCTGGGAGCCAGGGGAAGGTGAGCGGTTACATACCGTAGGATAGATTGCCTGGCAGAGCGAGACAGACTATTGCCGAAAGGCAGTGGCAGGACATGGCTTTGGTGCAGATCCTCTATTGACCTGCCCCAGGGCTTGGCCTTGTTGAACGTCCCATCGTCGCCTCCGTTCTCCACAACCTCAAAGTCAAACCTAAGTCAACGACAGGACAAGACATGGTGGGGGGGAAGGAGGGAGGGAGATCTGATCACCGTCCGTGAGATATTCTATGACGCAAGCATGCAGCGGCTACTGACACACACACACATTGAGAGCAGCTCTGTGGAGAGGGACAGGTCTGTAGCGAGGTTTAATCATCATCATCATCATAATAATAATCCTTGCATTTCACACAGCGCCTTATCACACCATCGAGACGTCTCAAAGCGCTTCAAAGAATATACTGTGAACTGAATTGACTGTGTATTTTGTGGGCGGTACCTGGCAGCCAATTCCGCACCAGCCATGTTGTTGACACACCCCCTACCCTCTCCCCCCTAACCCCCCACCCCACCCTCCCCTCTCCCACCTCCCCCTTCCCCTCGCCTCCCCCTCCTCGCCTGATCAAGAACAAAACATACACCACCATTTTCTCCTCTGGCGAGTTCAGAGTCCCACCTCTCACACCACTTGGGCACGATTGATGCCTCGTGTTGAGGACATGCTGTCTTACCTCTATAACCGTTTCCCTGCTAACCCCCCCCCACCCCCACCCCCCATTATAAACCCCCGCACCCACCTGCCCCCAACCTCAACCCCAACCAGAACCAATAGAAGAGGATTTCAGAGTAAAGGAGAGAAATTCAGCAAAGCGCCAGGGAGACCAAGCTGGAGAAGGTCAGAGAACAAGGGCAAAGGTTTGGTAAGTTTAGAAAGTTGACGTGTTGGAAACGGCCAGGTTCAGCCAGAGCCTCATCATAATAATAGTAATAATAATAATAATCCTCGCATTTGACACAGCGCCTCATCACGCCTTCGAGACCCTCAAAGCGCTTCACAGATTACACTGTAAAGTGTAAAACACTGTGTGTTTTGGGGGCGAAACGCGGCAGCCAATTGCGTACAGCAGCGTCCCCGCAAACGTTCGTGGATTGCGTGGCAAATTATATGGTTATTTATTTATTTAACTGTCTATCTGCTCAATTATTCATTTCATTGATGAATGGGATTATTACCCACTCGGATCCGCCAATCATCGAACAACCAGGTTCCTGCTTACTGCTGGGCAAACAGAGGCGCGTGTGTGTGTGGAGGAGGAAGGAAACTTGCCTAAGGTTTCACCCTGACCTGCCCGGGAATCGAACCCGGGTCCTCTCGCTTGCGAGGAGGGCTCTAACCCCTGAGCTACAGTGACTCCACTTTCAGGGCAAGATATCTTGGGGCAAGAGGACGAGGAGACCAGATTGAATTGATTTACAACTTGAGTTACACAAATCATTGGGGTCCAAACTGAAGAGGGATCAGGGCAACAACAACACCAATGGGGCCGCTCAGTAACAAGGACATTTCCCAAGAAGTCACTTACCAATGGGCTCACTCAGGGCTCAATAAAGAGCAAGGTGGTTCGAGTGCGTCCATTCCAAGGAGGCGTAGATAGACAGAGCGTGCACCTTCCATTGTCGAAAGGATTGAAGGAAAAGGAGAAGAGATAAGAGAGGAGAAGAGAGAGAGAGAAGAGAGAGAGGGAGAGGGAGAGAGAAAGAGAGAAAATGAAAGCGTGAAAGGGATAAAACAAGAATAAAGGTCAGCTTGTCCGACGTATCTCAATGACTTACATCACGGCACATTGTGCGAACGACAGATAGTTCACCAGCACGTTCAACCCTTGGTTATCGTCGTTCAGGAACTCACGGACCCACCTGCAAAACAAGACAATGAGAAATTAACCGGAGTCCCTGTAGCTCAGCAGTTAGACCCCTGGCCTCGCAAGCCCAGAGGACCCGAGTCCGATTCCCAGGTGGGTCAGGACAGGGCTAAACCTTAAGGCAAGTTTCCCTACTCCACACACACACACAAAAAAAAAACACACGCCTCTGTTTACCTGGCAGTAAGTAGGAAGCTTTCCCGGGGGTAATAATCCCTCCCAAAAATAAATCAATCAATCAAAGTTGGCTGCCGGGTTTCGCCCACAAAATACACAGTCACTACACTTTACAGTCTATCCTGTGAAGCGCTTTGAGACGTCTCAATGACGTGATAAGGCGGTGTATCAAATGCAAGGATTATTATTATTATTATAATAACTGTGTAGAAAATAATGAGGGGGTTTGACAGAAGGCCACAAGATATTAGACAGCCACAAGGTGAGGGTGAGGAGCTGCTACACAGAGCCTTGTGAAGACTCGTCAAGACATCTTGAGATGATCAGATATTATAAAAGACAAGTTTCCTGATGACAGGAACTGGATCAGTTTTGTTGGACTGAACAGAGCTGTTGGGACGTGGAAAGTCCTGACGTGGAAAGTGGTCGATATTAATAACTTTACCGCATTTGATACAGCGCCTTATCACGTCTTCGAGACGTCTTAAAGCGCTTCACAGAACATACGGTAAAGGGAATCGACTGTGTATTTCGATGGCCAAAGGGGCAGCAAATTGCTCAGTTAAATTGAATCCAAACCAATTACATGAAGCTCGGAACCAAGGAAGCGAGATTAATAATACTAATTCTTGCGTGTGATACAGTGGTGTGGGGGGCGGATGGGGGGGGGGGGGTTTCCGATGGGGTTAAACGTGTTCCTGGAAGCGAAATTGAAGGGTGAAATTCAAACAACGCAACAATGAGATGAGTGCACTGACGTTAAACAAAAGTGGTTTCCTTTCAACGAGAAATAAACACACGACCGCAAGAGTGAACTCTCAACAGACTTCAAATCTGTTGCGAGGAGAATGTCGGCCTCAAAAACACACATCCTCTCTGCCTCCGACACCAAGTTTCCTGCCCACAGCAAACGAGCAGACAGCGACAGCTATTTTGAGTTCCTGGCTTTAAGCAACCGGCTGCTGCATTTCACCTCCCATGTAATAATAATAATAATAATAATAATAATAATAATCCGGGCGTTTGATACATACAGCGCCTTTTCACGCCTTCGAGACGTCTCAAAGCGCTTCACGGCTTTCACCGTGACCGTGTATTTTGTGGGCAGCCAATTCATTGCGCCCAGCGGTGTCCCCACAAACAATCGTGGATTGAGTGACCACATTACTAGTGTCATTATTATTATTCTTGAAGGGAGTATTACCCCCCAGGGAGTGCTCTTACCACTGACCCCACAAACATACAGTCAACCCGCTTTACAGTATATCCTGTGAAGCGCTTTAAGACGTCTCAATCAGGCGATAAGGGGCTGTATCAAATTCAAGCATTGTTATTATCAACGTTATTATAATGAATAAAGCCCCTGGAAAGATTGGGGCAGTGCGGGGAGGAGGGGGGGGTGCGGGGGGGAAGTGGGGGGGGGGGGGGGGAATGCCCCACCAGCGTTATAAACGGGGACAAAATTCACGGCTCGAAGATCCACGTTTCTGCTCGCCAAGCCGCCTCCGTTTAAGCAAATAAAATATCCGGTTAAAGAAAAAAAGAAACTCCAACAAAACAAATCTCGGATATTTACAAGTTCCTTTCAGTCGCCCCTGACGGAAGGAGCTAAATAGAGAGCCGGCTATCACTGGGAAACGTTCCCAGTTAAAGGAAAGCGTGGGGAGAGGGAACCATTTGTTTTTCCAAAGAGAGAGAGAGAGAGAGATTCCTCAGGTTTTTTTAAGATCAACAAATCCTGCGTCCGCATTCCACACTCCCTCACTGCTCCCACCCCTCCCGGCCCCGGAGGACACAGCTCAAAATCCTCGTCCTCCCCTTCCAAGCCCTCGCCACGGCCTGGCCTCATCCCTCCCTGCCTCCGTGACCTGCTAACTACACGTCCACCCGTCTGCCCCCTCCGCTCAGTGAGCTCTGACCTGCTCCACACTCCCCCCCTCCCCCCTCCACCTCCACCATCGGTGCATCGAGCGACCAAATTATTATTCTTTTTTCGAGGGATTATTACCCTCGGGAAAAGCGAGACTGACAACCACTCACAGCTGTGTGAACAGAGGCGCGTGTGGGGGGGGGGGAGGGAGTAAGGAAACTTGCCTAAGGTTTCGCCCCGACCTGACCCGCCCGGGAATCGAACCCGGGTCCTCTGGCTGGTGAGGCGAGGGCTCTAACCCCTGAGCTACAGGGACTCTACACTCTGTGGGATGAGGGTAAGGTGAGTGAAGTGAACAAGATCTGGTCGGTCGGTCAGTGCGACTCCAACAACAACAACTTGCATTTACCCAGTGCCCCTGATGCAGGTTAGCGCCTCAGAGCGCTTGGCGGAGCACGGGGAGCCCTGTCTATGATGAAGCCCCTTTTTTAAGAGACTCACCCAATGTGGTTGGTGCGGAGGGAAATCTCCAACTCCCGCAGAACCTTAGTCGATTCCTGAACTCTCTGCCGGAATTTCTGGAAAGATAAGTAAGACGGGAAGGAAAAGATTTACATGGGATTGAAGTGCAACCCGGGCGGCGCTTTTGAGGTTGGGTCAATTGACGGTTACACGCACACACATGCCACACACACACATGCCACACACACGCCACACCCACACACATGCCACACACACGCGACACACACACATGCCACACACGCGCGACACATGCCACACACGCGACACATGCCACACACACATGCCACACACACGTGCCACACACATGCCCCACACACACACGTGCCACACACACATGCCACACACACGCGACACATGCCACACACACGCCACACCCACACACATGCCACACACACGCGACACACACACACATGCCACACACGCGACACATGCCACACACGCAACACATGCCACACACACGTGCCACACACATGCCACACACATGCCACCCACACACACGCGACACATGCCACACACACGCCACACCCACACACATGCCACACACATGCGATACATGCCACACACGCGACACATGCCACACACACGTGCCACACACACGGCACACACACACACGTGCCACACACACGCGCGCGCGAGCCACACGCATTATTATCGGTTTGTTACCTTCCTGGTGACCGTCGGGTCTAAATAACTCTTTAGTTTCTGGATGTAGGTATGAGGAGGATTTTTCACCTGAAAGCGTTCCTGTAAATAACACGTTAACACGTTACACATCAGCTCGAGACTCAACACGCCCAGAGGTCACAACAGCAACTTATTTACCCAGCGCCCCTTCACACAGGATAGCGTCCCGGGGCGCTTGATTGTGGCGGAGCAGGACACTGAGACGGGGGGGGGGTGGTGGAGGGTTCTAGGTGGAAGAGGGGGTTCTTTAGGCGCGACCTGAAGATGGGGAGGATGGAGACGAGGAGGTGGGAGGGATTGGGGGAGAGTGTTCCAGAGTTTTGGGGTGTTATGGCTGAACTGACTGTAAATGTTGTGGGTGAAACACGGCGGCCAGTTGTGCCCAGCGACGTCCCCACAAACAGTCGTGGATTCAGTGACCAAATTATTATTAGTATGTATTTTATTTCTTTTGGAGGGATTATTAGCCCCGGAAACACCATCGCCAGATAACGAAGGAAGAAGGTTCCTACTGACCGCTGGTAAACAGTGATCCGTGGGTGTGCGTCTGTGTCTATGTGTGTGGCGTACGGAAACTCGCCTAAGGTTTCGCCCTGACCTGACCCGCCCGGGAATCGAACCCGGGTCCTCTCGCTCGCACGGACTCTCGTTACCTGGTCACAAATGAGATCCCATTTCTTCTCGTTGTCGTACTGTCTCAGTAACCGGGCCTTGTCAGGCGGGAGGTTCATGGAATTCTGAGGACAAAAAACACGGAAAAGCACCAGAATGTTAATTTAACTCAACAACAACAGCGTACGTGTACACAGTGACAATCGCTCAGGTCGAGTCCCCCGAGCAAACGTTTGTCAAATTCCCCCACAATTTTCTTTTGGCTCTTCCCACGACTCCACATTTTGCCCGTGTCTGTGTAATAATAATAATAACAGTCCTTCCATTTGATACGGCGCCTTATCACGTCGTTGAGACGTCTCAAAGCGCTTCACAGCATATATTGTCAAGTGTAGTGACTGTGTATTCTGCCAATTGCGCCCAGCGACATCCCCACAAGCAGTCGTGGATTCAGTGAGCCAATTATTATTAATATTTTATTTTTAAGGGATTATTAGCTGAGACAGCGATCCGCCAATCGACTAACAACCGGGTTCCTACTGACTGCTGGTAAACAGAGGCGTGTGTGTGTGGTGGTGGGGGTGGGGGGGGGGGGAGACGCGCGGGGAGTAAGGAAACTTGCTTGAGGTTTCGCCCTGACCTGACCCACCCGGGAATCGAACTCGGATCCTCTCGCCTGGGAGCCGGAGAGGGAGGTGACCATATGCACAGTTCATTAGGTTCTGTACGAGTTTCACTGTAAAGTGTAGTGACTGTGCATTTTTTGTAAGCGAACGCAGCAGCCAATTTGAGCGCAGCAATCCCCGCACACAGCCAGGACTGATTTTATCTGGGGGTGGGGTGGGGTGGGGTGGGGTGGGGGGGGGGGAGGTTTAACGTCTCATCCGAAAGACGGTGTCTCTGACAATGTGGTTCTCTTCCCCTCTCCCCCCACACGGTGCTGTGTTAGGAGCGTTAGATTAGCCTGTGAGCTCCGAGACCTTGACGCGGTGGGGGGGGACGGAGGGGGGGTGGCAGAGGGGTGCGGGAAGGGGGTGCGCCAGGCTGTCACTGCCACATTAGCTGATATCATCAGAGCCTTGTGATCAGACTACAGTGGGACTTCCGCAATCTCACAGCTTAGCATAATGCCCTGTCAGGAGACACCAGACATTTTGAGAGGGGAAAGGGCAGCGGGGGAGTGGGGGGGGGGGGGTTGGAGGAATGGGTGGGGGCGCAGGGGATGGACGGTGGGGGAGAAGGAAAAAGACTTGGTTGTTGCTGAAATTTAGATGTATAAAAGTTAGCTCTTTCCGTCTGTCGGGTGTTTCCTACGGGTTGTGTCTCCTGCATTTTTTTTTGGACACGAATGAATCACACTCTCTTCTATGGGGGGGGAAGAGGGGTGGAGTGGGTGGGGGGGGGGGCTCACACTCTAGGCTGATACTCCAACGGCAGCGCTGGGGGTGGAGAGAGAGGGAAAGAGAGAGAGGGGGAGAGAGAGAGAGAGATATAGAGGAACTCCCTTCTTTTTTTCCAACGACGCAATGGGATCTTTAACGTCCACCTGAACAGGGCACAGACGGGGAGTGAGTGAGGTTTAACGTCTCATCTCAGACAATGCGACGCTCTCTCTCTCTCTCTCCCCCCCCCACCCAGGACTGGGCTGGAACGTGAGTTTAAACACGACACGAGCTCCAATTCCCGTGGTGTGTTGGGCGGGAGGGAGAGGCAGTTACTGACCGAGCCGGGCTGACAGCTAATGGTTAGCAGGTGCTTTTTTTAGAAATAGTCGCGTGTCATTACGACTCGTTTTAAATATCGGAATAAACGGTTCTAACGGTGTGCGTGTGTGTGTGTGTGGGGGGGGGGGGAGTGAGTGAGTGTGTAGTGTGTGTGTGGGGTGGGGAGAACGAGTGGAAACGGTGAATAATGAGCTTTTATGCTGATTAACAACACATTGGGGAGATATGGCATCATTGGCACACCTGAGTGCGATGACGTCACCCCCCCCCCCCTCACCACAACCCCTTAAAGAGTGCGTGACACACACCCCCTTCCCCCATCACACACACCACACAACCCGCCCCCACGCCCACCCACCCCTAACCCCCGGGGAGAGAGGCGGGGGGGGGGGGGGGGAAACAATGATCTAATCACTGGCTCAACAACCGCTGCAGACAGACGCACTCAAACTACGTTCAGCACCATTACTGGCAATCAAACTCCCAGTGACTGCATCTCGTTGGGTCCAACTGGAGTATAAGTTCATCCAGATCCCACCCCCCCAACCGGCACTATAACAATCATTTGATCCTCCGCTGTTTGTGGGACGTGGCTGCGAGCGATAATAATAATCCTCGCATTTGATACAGCGTCTTATCACCTCGACGAGACGTCTCAAAACGCTTGTGGGCGAAACACGGGAGCCAATTGCGCAGAGCAGCACAGTCCCCACAAACAGCCGTGGATCGGGCGACCAAGGCAGCATTCATTTATTTATTTATTTATTTATTTGGAAAGGATTATTACCCCCGGAAAAGCGATCCGCCAACCGGGTTCCTAATTACTGCTGGTAAACAGAGGCGGGTGTGTGGAGTCAGGAAACTTGCCTCAGGTTTTGCCCTGTCCTGACCCGCCCGGGAATCGAACCCGGGTCCTCCGGCCTGCGAGGCGAGCGCTCTAACCCCTGTGCCACAGGGACTCCACAAATACACAGTCACTACACTTTACAGTGCGTCCTTTGAGATGTCTCAACGACCGGATCAGGGGCCGCATCAAATGCATTGATTCTTATGCTCCTGCGTCACGTTGCCCTGTTAGACCATTGGGGAAGCTGTAGTCATTTGACCTGGGTGTGGGGCCACGGAGGGAGGAAGAGAGGGGTGGGGAGAAGGGCAGGGGGGTGGGGGGTGGGGACATGGAAGGAAGGGAAGGGCGAGACTTAATGCAGTGACCACATTGTCCACAACATGAAAGCTCAGCTAAACTAAGCTTAATGGGCAGCTCTCTGGCTGTGTGACCTTTGAGCCGGTGGGGAAAAACAATGGGACATCCTGTCGGGGTTGGGTGGGGGGGTCGAGGAGAAAGGTAATGTGGGGGGGAGAAGGGGGGAAGGTGGGGCTGGAGTTCCCTGTATCTCATTGGTTAGAGCCCTCGCCTCGCAAGCGAGAGGACCCGGGTTTGATTCCCGGGCGGGTCGGGTCAGGGCGAAACCTTAGGCAAGTTTCTTTATTACACACACAGACGGACACACACACGGACACACACACAGACACACACACACACACACACACGTGATCAGGCGCTGTGATCAAATGCGAGAATTATTATTAAAGGTCTTGAAAGCAGAGATTTATTGGTTATTGTAGAATAATGATAATAATAATCCTGGCATTTGAACCGGCGCCTTATCAGGCTGTCGAGACGTTTCAAAGCGCTTCATGGGGTACACTGTAAAGTGTAGTGACTGTGCGTTGCGTGGGCGAAACGCGGGAGGGAGCGAGAGAAAGAGGGTGTGGGGTTTAATAATGAAACCAGCTTCCATTTCCTGTCTGGAAGGCACGAGGCGATGGAGGGGAAGTGAGAGAGGGAGAGCAGGAGATACGAGTTTTCCAGCCAGTTCAGGAGCTGAGTAACCATTCCAAGGGGGAGCCATTCGATTGGCTGCGTTATAAAGGACTGAGCTTTTGAGCTATAAATATATATATTAAAAATATCTAATTAGGGCCCACATAGAGCCAACAAACTGGGCCTCGGGCCAGACATGAATTAAAGTTCTCACTGCCTCGCCTCAGACTAACCCCAGGCTGATGGGAAACTCGAGCAAATTAACCCTTAACCGTTCACCCATCACCCTCTCCTCTCATCCTGCTCCCAACACACACTCACACACACCCCCCAACACACACACACACACCACACACCCAACACACACACCACACCTCCAACACACACTCAACACCACACCTCCAACACACACATACACCCAACACACAGACCCAACACATACTTACACACCCCCAACACACACTCACACACTCCCCCAACACACACACACACACACACCCAACACACACACACCTCCAACACACACTCAACACACACACCTCCAACAAACACATACACCCAACACACAGACCCAACACATACTTACACACCCCCAACACACACTCACACACTCCCCCAACACACACACCCAACACACACATCAGACAGACATACCCACCCACCCAACACACAAAAACACACCAACACACAAACACACACCAACGAGATTCGGTTACACGGTCCAAGGTTTAGAGTCTTAGATATTTCTCCTGCTTCCTTCTCCTCTCCTGCCTGAGAGTTCTCCGCCAACATCAAGCGCTCTGAGACACGTGAGGGACGCTGTTGTTGTTGCTGCTGTTGTTGTTGGGCGCTTTGGTTAACATTGACCTATCGATGGCTTCACTAAAGATTTTCAGTGGACAAATCCATTCACTCAGTCGGTGGAGAGCTCTGGCTCCCAAGTCAGGAAGTCCCAAGTTCAACCCAACTCCTTTGAGGTGACACAAGGCCCTGCCCGGTTGGTCGGGGAGTCACTAAACAGGGGCCTTCAGGTCAGGTTCGTGCCTGGAAGCGTTGAGGGAAAGGTTAGCAGTCACGAAGAGCTGCCAAATACGAGGGTTGCTTCACCACAACTTATCGTTCGAAGCCAAGACCGCAGCAGCTCATTTCAAAGTGAAATCCGATATGTATTTAAAACTGCTCATTACAGAAAGCCTTCTGTGTGTGTGTGTGTGTGTGGGGGGGGGGGGGGGGGGGGGAGTTGGCTGCCGCGATTCGCCCACAAAACACACACAGTCACTACGCTTGACAGTGTATCTGTGAAGCGCTTTGAGACGTCTCGAAGATGGGATAAGGCGCCGGGTCAAATACCAGAATTATTATTATTATTACTTCTAGAATAGGAGCCAACGGACGATCACCAATGGCGAGAGTTGATGTCAACAGCAACTTGTACTGTAACAAGTTGGATTTAAGTTGTTGTGGGGAGGGAGTGGTGGGGGGGGGGGGGGGGCGGTGGGGGTAAGGTAGGGAGAATGAGGGAGAGAGTTCCAGGGTTTCTCTCTCCTGATGTCCTGGCTAACAACAACAACAACAG